ACACACATGTAAAAAATAACTATAGTCTTGATTGCAACTGATAGGTTTAATAGTGCATGCAGGAAAAAAAGAAAACATGTGTCCTTCCAACCTAATTAGGAAATGAATACTTTTATTTTACTAGCACTGCTTCCCTTAGGCAATATCATTCATCTACATAGCATGCATTTTCATTGCTGTGCAGATGATACCCAGCTCTATCTATCAATGAAGTCCGCTGACACACCAGTTAGTTAAACTGCAAGAATATCTTAACAACCTCTAATTTCTTGTTTCTAAATTCAGATAAAACTGACTTTATTGCACTCAGGCCTAAAAAAAAAATGTGGATGTCTAACCAGATACTTACTCTGGATTTTATTTACTTTTTCTTCATACAAAAAAAAAGGCAAAAAAATAAATAAAAATAAACCAGTAAGCATAGAAACATCTTTTAGGACTTAAGCTTAAAAAATATGTGCCCTGGCCTGAAAGTCCATGCAGCATTGCAATCTGACAGCAGAAGTATTATTATCAGTATGAAAATTTGCTGAATTTAAATTGTAAAAGTTTCTGAATGACATTTTGTCAAAAGACTGAAGCAGTCACTTTGATATAGCTATGTAAAAAAACACACAGCAACATGTGGAATACCTTTGCGCTGTTCATCCAGAGCTTTCCCATAATTCACTCTTCCACAGTTCTCCACAAGGAAGCTTAATGTCCTCTCCCCCTTTGATATACAAACAATTAGTGTTTTAAATATTGAGTATAAATAAAAGGTGACTATGTACAATTTTCTTTGAGTCTATGAATATTCCAAGTCCTAACACACATGTCTATGGACTGTGGGAGCAAATCATAGTGCGCAAAGAGAGTTTACGGCACAATTGACTAATGGCACTATTGTGTTTTGTACTGTTTTGTATGAGTGACCAAAACCGGCTGCAAAATAACTTCACTCCAAAGACAAATTTGGGGGTAAAATTGGATGATTAAGCATATTAATCCTAATCCTTAATTTAAGTATCACTTTGTAAAGTTCAGAGTAGATACAGAAAAAATGATCAGCACCTTTCCATCAGGGAGTGCAACCTCATGAGTCTTATAGTCCAAACAACCAACACACTCCCTGTTCACAAAAACCTGGAAAAGATTGAAAAGTCACACAGGCAGTGTATAATTATGCTGTATTTTGGATCTGTGGTTACTTTATCACTGGTATGCTCTTACCATTGCTCTGTCTCTAATGTTGTTCCTGGAGTTTAGGGCACCTCCACCAGTGATAGTGGTTTCATACAGTGTATAACCATATGACTGACCATTGTTATTGTTCACAGGGAGATTCTCCATGTTCACTGGCCCGTCTGACCTGTGCGGCTGGAGAAATGGGAGGTAAAATCAAGTAAATAGTAAAACATTAAGAAAAATTTAAGAATTTGAAGCATAATGCAATTTGATCAGATATCTTGCTGCATCACAACACATGGGGAAAAAACAGGAGTAGTGTTGTGGCTTGAAAATTACAGTTTCTTAATGTAAGCTTTCACAAGTGCTCATGAAAGACTACCTGAATCACATTCAGAAAGGGGAAGAAACATAGCTGAAAGGAGAAGTAAGGTCAAACCTAACTGCAAGTTGTGAGACATCTGTCTTAAGCATATAAGCAGCAAGTTGCCAGATTGCTGCACAAAGACACACATGCTGATAATAGCAGCGTCATGTCTGTTTGATACTCGTTGTACCATGTTTGCTCTCCTTCCACCAGGGACCCCATATTTATCTGCTCTGATAGTTTTGTCAGTTATACTATCAACTCTACCAGATGGGCGCTTGCCATCTGCAGCTCACCTTGTCGCTGAATTGCAAGACGTCCCACAGTGACAGGTGTTGCTGGATAAAAGCAGGGCTGTAAGCTTTCCTCTCCGGAGAAGAGGGCACTCCAGGAAGAGGCTCAGCTGTGAGTTCGCAAAAACATTCAGTCATGTCTGAGTTAGACATTTTAGTAGATTTACATTGTTTTTCATAAATTAAAATAAGTATGGATCCTTAAGAAGAACTTACAGTGGTACTGGCTGAATAAATTCCTCAGGTGGTGATATTTTGGAGTGCAGTCCCCAGCTTCAGATAGGGGAGCATCATAATCTGCCAAGAAACCATTGGAACCACTGACTTTTTAAAATTAAAAGATATTAAACATTTAAACGAGCAAAATTTTGGTTTTATTTTTGGAGAGCCGTTATGTTGTCGGTGTTTTCTGCATTGATTTAAACCACAGCTAACAAGCTGTATTATAGTACATAAACCCTGCCCCTTCCATGTTAACATATTTAACAGGGGTCAAATTAAAACCAAAAAGTTCACTTCAGATCAATTTCTCCCAAAGTTATTTTGCTCTGTTTGAAGTAGTTCTTATTTACAATCAAGAAGTAAAAGTTTTCTTGTAGGAGTGCTTGCATTTATGCAGCACTTTTCAAAACGAAGCGAGAATAATATGCAGTAATATTAAAGAATACCAGGGGCAAAAAATAGGAAAAGTGAAAAATAAATACAATATAAATTAAGGGACCAGGTCATGTAGGGCTTTAAAAATCAGCAATAAAAATCTTAAACTCAATTCTAAAACTAACAGGTAGCCAGTGAATGGCTGCAAGGACTGGTGTAATGTATCATTGCTGGAAAAGATATCCCTCAAACATGTAAAACACTTCTTTGTGCTTTGATCTCTGAGCTCCGGGTTCTAAGGTTAATCCCACCCTACCGTAACTGGTGACCTGAGATTTATAGGTGCCAAAGTCCATTGCGCCGTTCATGAAGCCAAAGCTGGTTCCGCCATGAAACATGTACAGATTAATGGAAACGCCTCGATCCAAGATCTCGGACACCACAGCCAGCATGTCTGTCATAAAGGGCAGCACAGATTTTCCGCTGTAGCAGTGTGTGACAACATAACACACAAAGACCAACAAGCAGCAATATATGGAGTTTTAAAGTGCATATTTACAATGTGCCTAAACATTTCAAATAAATAAACACTTGTCACTTTGAATCTTGTCATGAAATGAACATATGCTTGGAAAAATTGTGTGACTTAAAAAAACATTTGCAAACCCTCGGCGTGGAACACATGATGATGTTCTCCCCAGACATCAAACCATCCAGACCAGTACTCCATTACCATGAGAGGTTTCTGGGGCTACACAACACAACACGTGTATTAAGTAGGCTCTATCTTGCTCCTTACTGTCACAGGTTGAATAAAACATTACCATCAATTCATAATAAAAATCCCCAAAGTATTTCTCAGTTGACTTAAATGTCTTTCAGATGGAAATGTCAGCCTGTCATGACAATCGCAGATCATCGTTGACCATCACTTACCTGTATGTCAGCCAAATGTTGGATGGCTCCAAATGAGAGTCTCTGAAGGTTTATTGTTTTTAGAGCTGAAATAAGCAAGATGTCACATTCTCAAACACGATCCAATAACAAGGACAAAACCATAAAGTAAAAAGCAAACAAAGGACACAGACAGCGATTGTTTGTATCTTTCTTTAGCTCAAGGTTTATCAGTGTCATTACCTCCTTCCACCCCTCCACATCTTAAGCCTTCCCAGTTGTCTGAAGTCATCAGAAGCTCTTTGATCCCTCTGGACTGGAGACACTACAGCAAAAAAGACAATGAAGGGTGCAGGAATCCATCATGCTGCAATGTCACAAACCATTTTAATGATTAAAATTGGCAATAATACACTCACATTCTTTATAAATGGCATATATTTGTCATCTTTTGCAAATGAGCCGTATTCGTTCTCAACCTGGACTGCAATGATCGGGCCGCCTCCTTCAAACTAAAAAACGAAACAGAGAAAACTCTAGTTATTATTTTGGCTTAAAATGTAGTGAGAAAACAGCCATCTGGACTTACCATCAGAGGCTTGATAACTGAGATGAGCTTGTCAAAGTATAAGTTGACAGCATTCACAAATCCAGGATAAGTTGTCCTCAACTTCATCTCTTCATCTTGTAGCAACCAGCTAGAGAAAAAAAAAGAGGAGCAAGAGAGAAGACATGTTGTGGTATAATGCGTATTTATGGAACAGCTTCAAATTGATGGGAAGATGATACTACCTAGGCAACCCGCCCAAGTCCCATTCAGCGCAGATGTAAGGTCCAGGACGCAGTATAACCCAGAGACCCAGCTGTGCTGCTAAACTGACATAGGCCCTGAGACAGGCACAGATGCTTTATGCTCTTTTCAGAAATAAATACTTTGTATGTCTTAAAAAAATGTAGTCCTACAAACATAACACATTTAGGTGGGAAACTTACTTAAGGTCCAGCTGATCCTGAAAATTAAATGTTCCCCTCTCAGGCTCATGGAGGTTCCATGGCACATATCTGAAAAATAAAGCAGCAAAGAATATATTCTTTGTATCATCAGCAATAGTACAGTGTATAAGGAGGAGAAATGTTCAACATGCCTTCCACATAGACCCTAAACTGTTTCTATTTGGCTTACTTCACCAAAAGAACAGATACTTGTGATTTAAGGCGTACAGAATGTGCACTGGGAACGTACGTTGTGAGTGTATTGAGACCACAGGCCTTCATCTTCAGCAGCCTGTCCTCCCAGTAGGCTCTGGGGACACGGAAGTAATGGACAGAGCCTCCCAGGATGCGGAAAGGCTCTCCTTCTAGAGTAAACTGAGACGAGTTGGCCTTCAGACCCTCTAAACGACTCATTCTTCTCACATCAAGGTGATGTCTGAGGGGGAAAAAAACAGAAAAAGTTCAGTTTTTTAAAGCAGGTATTGCATGCTGGATTATGGTGTTTTTAAGATGTGTCAAAGCATTTGAAACATTTTAGCATAACATTACAGTAACAAATGATGCATTTAAAACATTGTAGTACCTGCAGACAGCACAGATAACGCATACATTTTAGGAAGAGTAAATGGAAAACCTTACCAAGAGTTAACATGAAAGTCGAAACTGCCAGCTACATCAAAAACACTGTCAGTGCTGTGGCTTGAAGCTGAGCTTACCAGAGCGCATTCGTGGAAGGGATGGATGGTGCTGGGAGGCCTCAAACACTGTGGATAAGGGAAACTATTGTTGTTTTAGAACAAAAATATAATAGTTCTCTCTCTCTCACTCTCACTCTCTCAACCACTTAGTCTTTGTCAGTGAAGCACTGCCTTACAGAAAACAGAAATCACACTGTACACAGTAACGTTGGTCTCTTCATATTTCTTTGCTCAGTTTTTACATGTTTTGTTTTTCTCGGTTTAGAGGGCAAACGGAACAACGTCACATTAACAAAGTGTAGGGGAGACCGGGGATAGTTGTAACGTGGGTCAGTTGTAACACTTCCAATTTCTCCAATCAGGGCTAAGTTTAAAATGATGTGACTCATCCTGTGCATGCCCAATTCAGTTCTGCTATCACATGTGAAAAATCAGCACATTTTGTCAAACACAGACAATTTAACATGAAAAAAAGTAATTTGTATGCCAAAAATTAAGTTTTTCTACTTTATTTCAATTTCTAATAGCATTATCTGCTTTGCAGTTAAACTCATCAAACTTAAATTATGTTATTTGTATGTCTATGGGGATATATTCTGTGTAGGTCTTTAGT